CCCTTTGACCTTGTAGCCAAATAATGAACCTATAAGAGCTCTGCACCCATGGATCTATTATACTTCCATGTCTGTACCGTAGTGATAAGCCTAGTTAAGCATTAGCGTGATCAAAGTTGTTTATGCATAAAAAAACAAAACAGCACTCTCAGAAGATATCGTCACCTTTTTGCTTCTCCTCTGCACAGCTCAGTATTTTGGGCAGGCTGTGTCAGCGTTTAGCGTTATTCACCGCAAATCGCAGTGTCCAGTCACAAGAAGCGGCACCTACCTGCTACCTCCACGTACCCGGGATGCATGGGAGCCTTACGCCGAGTGCTGGTTAGTTATAGCGCACTTCTGCAGTCCTCAGTTTTTGCGTCGTTTTTATTCAGCTGCACCCCATATCGCTACGTATCACTGCAGTTGGCACAGGGGGGTGGCAGAATGGCGGGGAGGGAGTTCTCAGTACCGATACCGACAAACAGCACATGCTCTTTTGTTATTAACTTTGGGTTACTCTAAATAGGTTACTGCAGACTTAGTAGCGTGCGTAACATGCGTCAAATCATTTTAATACCAAACCACAGGGTACAGTGCCCTTAGTTGTGGCGTGTTTTTCAGGCCTACTTGCTGAAACGCTGTGCAGTACAATTTCTTTGTAATGGGTAGTTTTGCTGTGTAGATTCTTGTTACAGAAGGTTTCAGGAATAGTCTCTCATTTTTGAAGCTTCTGAGGCCTCGTTCAGCTTTTAGCATGTGAGATCATTATGGAGCTATAGTTTCCTAAAATTCAGTTACTTTGCATATTTAGGACTACTACTATCAAACAGTATGGCATTAACTTATCTATTTTGCAATTATTTAGTTACTGGTGTTTTCATGGCTAATCTTGAACAGGACCGCCTCTCCATAGATCTGACTTGTAACTTGGCCTGCTGGCGTCATCTGCTTGTCTCCGTGACGACATAGTTAGTTGAATGCCATATGGTGAAACATTCTATTCAAATAACATTTCAAGACAAGCATGATCCTCTGCCACAAGCATTTCATTGTGCATTTTTGACGCATTTTAAAACTAATTTAGGGATTTCGCTGGCTTCAGTCATAAGATATAAATAAATGAGTGGAAAGGAAACAACTGGGGGAAATCTATAAAAGTAATTCTGCAATGTCACCCTGTCAGAGCATGTGATTTAAACACACAGGGATTAATGGGACAAGTAAACAATAGTCCAAATGTGTCTTCTGGCAGTCCACAATGTTTTCTTACAATCTGTTCTTGGTCTTGATTATGTGCATATGAGAAAGCCAAAAAAATCTTCTAAAGTTCCATTTGTTGCATATTTGATCAGGTCATTTCAGTGAGCATCTATCTTTCTATTTGTCTATCCATCCATCTCTGTGAGTATGTAATATTACTGTTTTTGTTAATCATTGGTGAACATGTTGTACCAAATTGGTAAACCATTCACTGGCATTAAACAGAAGACTGGTTTTATGACTAGTACTCCAAGAAATGAGAATTACACACAATCAAACCCATTGCTCAACTGATACATGTTCTTCAGTGATGTCCTCCAGATGTTCCTCTTTCTCAACCCCAAGCTCCCTGACTCCTCACACCTCCCCCAGGTCAGTCAGGCTTTCTCTGGATGTTAACTTTGAATTCCTTGGAATCTTAATTCTGTAATAATTTCTGGTGCTGGTAACTTTTTTTAGGCTTTCTTCTTGGACCAAAATGCTTCTTTTCACAGGGAGCTTGTGTCCCATACTAATCGGACACATACGTACTTCCCTCTGACCCACATTAAGAAAATGCCTTGGTTCACTGGAACAAGTTTTACATCAGTAGACTTAGGATTATCCTCTTGGCCTCTATATGAAATAGGTTGAAGGCTATCCATATTTCAGACACTTTTCATAAACAGTAGGAATCCCTTTTTACTGTAACTTCTAACTTTTTCATTCTTTGGTTTTGTCTATAAAGTAGTATTGATATGATATTGATATTGATTGCAATAGTAGTAGTATTAGTAAAAATATAAAGTAAAAATGTATCACTATCACCCCATTATTGCAATCCCATGTAGGTTATTATTAAACATCACCTGGGATCCAGAAAACACACTTCTCTAATGGGCTACTTTAAAAATACAGAGATTGTTGGATGTTGGACTGTTGTTCCATTGTCAAAAAACAGACCTGGAGTTGTGTTTTGTTTCATTCATACATGTTTGAGTAAGCCTTTACTATTAGCCTGTTTACATCTCCAAATTTCAAAATACTCTGTTCCACCTTGTGATGTCATCAAGTACTAGTAGTAGTTTTCAAATTAACAGCTGCCTTTTGCCTTTTGTTCAGTAGAGCCTGGCAATTCTAGGGCTGAAATCAACCAAATCATTCTAGTGAAGGTGTATGGCGCAATTCCTGTATTACCACGTGACATCACATTTGAACTGTTTGTGATTCTTACGTCCCAGAACGAAAGCTAAAATAACATTTTATTTGTGACCAAAACAAAAAAGTTTATTCGATTTTTGAGCACGGAATACAACAGACTACTTGTAACAGACAATCACTATTGAAGTGACACTGCCCTCTACTGGCAAATTACAGTTCTTACATTACTTTACATAATCAAATCAATTTGAAGAAACCAACACAATCTTCCCTTTTAGATTTTTGGTCAACCATATCTTCAAACAAAATGGATTAGAGTGAAATATGCAAGTTTCTCTGTCACTGCTCCCAATTCTTAGTTTACCGAAATTTCTCCATATTGGTTCAAATGACACTACTGGATAAATAAAATGCATTTCCTTCAGTGCTTATACATGAACACTGATGTAGGGGGATTCTAATCAGTAGGTCTAAAATCAGTGTAATAAGATAAGCCATACTCATTTGAACAGTTGACTACTGACTGATCACATTATTAGGATAAATGTTGACCACCTTTTCCTGAATAGACTATATGTGTTAATCCCTCAGTTGTAGCTAAGTAGATAAGATATGATTTGAAGAGTTAAAGTGATGTTATGTTGAACTGTGTGGACACACAACCAAAAGTCTGGACACACTTTTTCATGTTTCATATTTTCATGTTTATTTTTTATGTTCTTTATTTTCCTTATTATTTACATTGTAGATAATCACTGAAAGAATATATGTATGGAATATAGTAAACAAAAAAAACAAAAAATAATTCAAAACTTGTTTTAGATTTTAAAATACCCTTTGCTTTTATAAACACATTTTTAGGGATGCACCAATACGATACTGGTATCAGGTATCAGTATAAAAAAAAAAAAAAAAGTGGTAGATTGTATATTAGCTTCCAAGATATTGGTTTAGTCAATATTTCATTTTGATCTATACATTTTAAATAATAAATAACACATTTGGATAATTCTTTACTATACTCTGTTTGTCTTTAAAGGAACTAAATGATATTTTCTAGTCTCTGCTCTAGTATCAGTTGATATTGCAATCGGCAGATACTTAAGACCAAAGTATCGACATCGGAACAGTAAAACCTGGATTCCCATTTATTTTAACACTTGCCATTCCTTCACCCTGACAAGGTACTCCTGTGAAGTGAAAATATTTCAGGAGAATTCCTCAAGGATTTGCTGCACTGTCGACAAAGCAAAGGATGGATATTCATAGGAATTAAGATCTAAAGTTAGTAATTATTTATTTCTTTGTGACATGCATCACATATTGATTGTCTTTTGTATGTATCTAAAATGTAGAAAGTATAGTAAACACTGAATGAAAAGGTGTGTCCAAACTATGTCTGGTAATGTATATGTTTTGCTAAATGTCAAAAAAAGTTAAAATAAAAAGAGAGAAATATACAAAAAAAATATAATTAATAAATAAATAAAAGAAAAGGTCCACTATATGTATTCAGGGCCACTATGTAATATAACTATGAGTCAAGTGGTCAATAGGTTCACTCAGTAGGTGTATTCTCTATTGTTATGGGCTGTGTGCAGGTCACCCCCTGTGTGAAACTGAGGGATTCACCCATACCTCATCCTACCTCCACTCTGTGAACTGAGCCAGGAGCTTGTGCTGATGTGGTAGAACCTGCTCTTGCTTCAGTAAGTCACAGGCTGAAACCTCAGGGAGGACGGTTGATACACTGGGTATTAATGGTACACTAAAAATGCTTTGATTATCAAACAAATAGAATCTTACAAATTTTTACTCAAGTGATGGTCCTTTTTAGTAATTATTCATCACTACTGATTCACTGAGAGTAACAAAATGTTTCATCATGATATTAATCGATTAATTAATTATTATTTTCTTCTTCTTTTTTCTTCTTCTTCTTCTTCAAGCAAAAGCACTTTTCTTTTAAGGGCAAGCTTACCACTTTTACATTTGCTTTCAGTTTTTTTTTTTTTTTTGTTTGTTTGTTTCCGAGGTGTCTAGTTAATTAGCTTGAACATTACAGGCCAAACAATAGCCTAAATGACTCTTCTTGGCTTGTGATCTGTGGTGAGAGCCAAAAGAAACTGTAGCTCTTTCACGTGACCGCACGCGCGAGCCACTGGGCTTATCTATCAAAGCCTAATTTTAGTAAGCTACCTTTGTATAGCACATAGCAGCAAGATGTTCCGAGCTATGGCTTTAGCCAAGACACGAGTACTTAAGTGTTTAACACCGGCCAACAGGTTATACTGTGGGCTTAAATGAGCCCTCTGTGTGTAGTGCGTCCCTTTTATGGATCAAAGGAGTTGTTACCCACAGGCTCCACGCCTGTCGGGGACACACCCCCATGGACACACCTCCAAAATAGTCTGCACAGATCGTGCATGTGTGCACAGGATCATTCACTCTTCTTTACACAATCTTAACTCTTTTTGTTGGGGAAAAAGCTGGCCGTTGCGTTTTATAACTTATATCATAGTGATAGTGAATTGATATAGGAAACCAAATCTAAAAGGCAAATAAATAGTGCGAGAATAGATGCTTCTGCGCATGTGCGGAGTGTGTCACTCACCGTAGCCACTGTTTGTCTTGTTCATATGTTTGGCGCAGTGGCGCGGTGCGAAAGGGCGCTCAAGTACAGTGTCACATACAGCCACACTCCCGGAGATATGTCGGAAAGCGAGATCCAGGAGGCAGACAGCGATTGTCCAACCAAGCGAGGGCCAAGGCCGGCTGTGGGCAACAGAGTGACCGTGGTCCTGGGGGCTCAATGGGGCGATGAAGGAAAGGGCAAGGTGGTGGACTTGCTGGCTCAAGACGCGGACATGGTGTGCAGATGTCAGGTGGGTTAGCTCCACACAGCAATCACGGATGCTTGTGTAGTTGTGTAGTATCAGGACTAGCCCACAGGTAAAGGAAGCTAAAGGCGCCACTTAGCACACCTAAACTCTTGGCTTCCTCTGATCAGTTTAGTGTGTGTGTGTTATGCTAGTACCACATCGTTAGCTTAACCACATTTTTGACTCATTCTTAGTGTTTTGCTAAAGTCACCTTGAGTCGCTGCTAGCTGTGTAGCTCCTCAGACACCTTTAGTGCCTGTGCCTCCTGTCGTGTGCACATGACAGTGTAACAGCGCTAAGTGAACACACCAGGTGGATCTCCGCAAGTGGGTTTATGACCAACTTACAGAGCAGTAATGACTCTCAAGAACTCTAATCCAGGGAGGACTTTCACTGTATCACCCTATCCTTATTGCCTAATAATCACCCAAGAGGACAAATCAGTTTACTGTTTTAGATTTATCTGAGAACAATGGGCCAAGAGACTCGTTATCATCTGCACTAGTCAATGACATGTAGATATGGGAGATTACATTCCTCGTGAAGGAGGCTATATTCAGATGTGCTATAGGCCTTGAATCTTTTACCAGCTAATGGACAGAAGGCTTCAAGCTACACTGCCACTAACTGACTTCAAGTAATGTTTCTTTAAATCCAAAAATGTGATGGTTTTCTTTTTAAGGGCCCATCCTTAAAGTTTTTGGAACACTGACAGCCTGTAGAGTGGTTCTTAAAACAGCCTACCTGCTACAAACAAAGTAGCAGGTAGTTCTGATGGGGATGGATGTGTCGACTCCTTAAATCCACAGTGACCATGTGTGGGCATTATTTATCTAGAATACTTCAAAGAGGAAGTTCTTTTAACCCAGTCACAGAGGGGCTGACTGGACTGGTTTAGATTTCCGCAGTATACTACTTCCCTTCTTGCATGTAAACTTTAATGTTTCAGTTGGTTAACTTTTTTTACTTAATTTTTTTCTCATAAGCAATAGCCCACTCAAACCCTATATTACCTTACCTGTTGAACTGGATGAAAACTGAAGTTCGTAAGCCAGTGTTGTTTTAGGTTTCTTTCACACACTAGATCAAAACTGGGACCAAACAAAGACAGAATTTGAACTATGTCTGAACCTCCCACTATTCTCTTATGTTCTTACGTTCTTATGCAATCTCTACAGACTTTAGCCAGACGTGTGCTGCTCTATAACCTTAAAACCTGTAAAAGTGCAGTTCTTTCACATTTTTATGAAGACTGAGCTCCAAGATGGTGTAGATAACGAGTTGACTTAACGGGTCATAATTCTGAGGCCCTTCCAAGCCTATGGAGGGGTGACAGATCGGTTCCAGTATCAGTATCTGTGATATCAGAGGGTTTTCCCTAGGGGAGTGCAAAAAATCTAAATACCGATATATCGTATCATTTAATGTGATGATACAGTATCGATATCGTGGGCTTCTGTATCGATATATTGGCAAGAGTATTTTTTGGTATATTTTACAAAATTATTTTGTTACGGCGCTACAGTTCTGTTGCTTGTTTGAGGGAGGAAATGTTTTATGCAACATATTTGCCATTTTCACTGTTTTGATGATTAACATGGGAGTGTTTCATATTAACTTTGCACAAAATGTGGTTTAACAAAGACTTTTTGTGTCACACCGGTGACTTTATTTTTTACTGAACCGTATTGACTCGATTTGAAATATATTGTAATGAATCAAGCTCACTGTATTGAGGTATGTATCGTATCGGTAACTTATTAATGATATTCAGCCCTAGTTTTCCCAAGGATTTGTCTGATACTGAAAATATGACTACCTCAGATTGTACAAAAAGATGGACAAGTTGTTGAATGTAGTGGGACATGGAGAGAACATATTACTTGGGTAATGTAAACTCATACTATAATAACTTTAATAACACAACATGGATTGAATTTGATTAGCAATAGGAGCCAACATATCATAACCCTGAATGCCAGTACCCCCAAAATGCCTGGATTGGGTAGCTATGTAAATCTTTATATTATATATTTTTATAATTCATGTGACACAAGTGAAAAAGTGGGATGGGCGCCTAAATGGCTGTGCAGTACAAGCAGGACAGGACAGGTGGTCTCCAGACATCAATATTTCTTCTAGGCCCCGCCTTTTGTGTGTCCATGTGTTTTCAGTTTGTGTTCATTGCACAATCACATGTGTAAAAATTGAGATAAGAAAGAAGGCGATTTAGGTTTAAAATATTAGAGTATGTTTACACAATCATGCAACAAACTTTCTTATTGTCCCAGCTAAGTAGTTTGTTATTATTTTTTGCCAATGTGAATTACTACTATTTGTGAAATTTATATTTGTGAGCCTGGCTGTGGATTTAAATTAAAAATATAGTTTTATTATTATTGCTATCTTCAAATATTAATTATCAGCAAAACCAGGAAGACAATTAATGGATATTGCTACTGGCTAAAAAAAAATCATATTGGACCTTCCTTATCCAGGCCTAAAGACTGTGTAACCCTTAGTGTAACTGATCCAGGGTCTTGTTAATGTGACTGTTAGCTGTACAGAGAGTGTTGATCTTTTTATAAAGCAGCAGTGGCAGCACTTTGACTGTACATACCTGGAAATCTTTGTGGGGTTATAGTGGGTTATAAAGCAAATGCAAAGGGCGTGACCTGTCCCTGGAGATCCACACAAGCTCATCAGTCTTCATTAGTGTGAGAGATCAAATGTCTGAGCATGCCTGTGGCCATAAACAAAATGGATATGATGGTCACACTTCAAATCTATGTGCTATAGCTAGGCCTGTCACAAAACCAAATTTTGATGAGCGATATATTGATGATGAAAATATAAACAATAAGTGATAATACTGAAATGTATTTAAGTGTAAATAAATATATATATATATACTAATATTAATAAATGTTATTATTAATAACAAATAAATCTGGCACAATAAATCCAAAGCAGGATTATCACCCAATTAAATATCAGAATGAAACACTTTGTGTCTAATGAATTGATTGAATTTATTGAATGAATGAATTTCCCCAAGTAAATATCAAACTGATTTGAATGAATAATGATTTGAATGAATTATGTATAATGAATTGTATCTAAAATGAATTACCTTTTAAGGCTTAAATATTATCATATATCAAAAAACTGCAGTATTACAAACAAACTGTACACATGATAAATATTGATAATATATTCAAAAACATATTGTTCCATCTGTCATATATTGAATGAGTCAATATCGTAATTACTGTGACACATCTAGCTGTAGCTACCTAATTATTTGACCAATAACAATATGGAAATTTTACTATTTATATATTGTTTTAGACATTTTAATTGTCCATAGAATATAGATGAAAAGGCAGGAGCCAGTCTGGATGTTTTATACTGAAGAATTTTATTACCGATCATTATTGCCAGGGGAACTTGGACGTTGATCGCATACTGGCATTGTCACATGTGGTATTGCCTATCCAAGCCCTCGTGATGGTTCCACACGAAGAGTTTAAATAACCTCTTTCGTGCGTCATATCGAAGGACATATTGAAGGACTGTGCGTAATCAGAAGACAACATGAGACATCTAGACTCTATTTTGATATGGTATTCTAGCTGGATCGTGTATTTGATCTGATAACATTCACGTTTATTCTGTTATTCTCTCATTAGTTATTTTGTTATTCCCTAACATAAGGTATACCTGTACAATAAGCCCCTCAAAGTAAAGTAAACTAAAGTAAAGTAAGTTGAAACAGTCTTTCCCTTTTTGTAAAAAAAAAATAATGACGCAATGTTTAGCTGGAATACAGTAAAGCATTAATGGATGTACACATTTATGCTGCCGCCCTGAGAATGCCCAGTCTTAAATATCTGATTCTAGAGTCTATTTATTTATTTATTTATTTATTGGATTGTTCTTCCTCAGCTCAAGTGAGCATTAAATTTACAATTAAAACATTACATTATAATAACTAAGCTAAGCTGGTTGGGCCTTGTTGTATGAATGACTTTAGTGTTTTTGCAGAGTAGATGGAGTAGAGATTCTCACAGTCACACCCACGCAGCTTTCCATAGTGTAAATGCTCCTACACAAACACAGATCTGCCCCCCCACCCCTCTGTTCACACTTATTCTGTGTATAGCATTTCGGTTTCCTCAGAGATGGTTGATCGGCATTGTGTGCGTGCCGGACGAAGTAAAACTATCTCCTCAACATGTCCAGTCATGTACTTATTTTGACTAAGTGCTAGAAAATACCAGAACATATTTCTTAGAACACAACACCTATCTGCATTGCTAAACCTATGTGGATTGAGTAGAATAGTGAGTTTGCATTTATTTCATGTCAGTTACATAATAACTCTAATACTGTATATTTATTATATATGTATATTTTTCTCATATCTTTTGAACCGTGAAGAGTTCTCAGAGTTCATAATGTAATGTACTCAGTCAATTTGTCAGTACTGAGTGTTGGGAATTGTACTTAAAAGGAGTCTCAGCCCCATATGCCCTGCTCCACCTTCAGGGGGCTGCTGTAGCCAGGAATAACCCCACATGGTGAAGCACATGATGGCCTTCTTCATCTCCTGCCTAGCTGTCGGACTTTAGCACTTCACACGTACCAGTGTACCAATACACAACAAATTTGTTAGTTGCAAACTCAGAGTAATTGAAATTAGCCACAGTCTGTTAACAAAACTGACACTTTGACAGTAATGCAGAGGTGTAAAAAGAATGTCTGCTAAAAAATAAAAACTTGAAAAATATAGTGACTTAGCAGGTGTCTGGGGTCATATAGCCTGCCTGACTTGTCCAGCAGCTGACTATAATTACCCAGTTGTTAGATATTTGCTTGCTTGTTTAGTGACCTGTAAATTCAGAAAGGTCAGAGAAATAATCATTTAGGAAGATGTTTTTTATGGAGTTTGTTTTGTATATAATAGTACTAATGATTGTTGATTATTAGTTTTCCTGTAAATTTTTCAGCTCTGTAAAATGGCCCATATAACACTATTTTCTAATCTGTTATTGTTTCAGAGTTTTGTTTCATTCACACATGTTTAACACACAAACCCTGCAGATTTAGGCTTAGATCTTCTCTCAAACAGAAAACACTCCACCACCTTGTGATGTCATGTGGTAAATACAGGAAGTACTCCACTGTGTTTAAACTCCATACAACTTAAGGGGAAATGTAGCCGTTAAGTAGAAAATTATCATGACATCAGAAAGTAGAACAGAAAATTTTGAGCTTTGGTGATTTAGTCAGAATAATAATGCAGGATTACTGACATGTGTGAATGAAACACAACTCTAGGTATGTTTTTGTACCTCTGTATAATGTGGCTTAAAGTTCACAAGAGTCAATTTTGTGTAATATAGTACTTTCTAAATACAGAATTTGAGGTTGTCCCTTTTACATATCTAAGTCTTATCTCCTGGTCTCTCCTACAGGGTGGAAACAATGCAGGGCACACAGTAGTGGTGGACTCTGTAGAGTACGACTTCCACCTCCTCCCCAGCGGCATCATCAACCCAAAGGCCACTGCATTCATTGGTGTGTATTTCACACAGTAATCAATAACCACATTTATGTAGTATACATACAGGCTGATCCGCATCATTTTCCGTTTGTCTGATGGTCTTGACTCTGAGCCAGACTGTTGCAGACTACAGTAGAGCTGCTTTTCTGCAGTGACTTTATTAGCTAATGGACTTATTCACTTATACTCTCAATCTCACACAACAGTTTATATGAGTTATATATTTATCAACAGCCAGATATGATGATATGTCATGATAAAACCAACACTGGCCAAGCTGATATGCAAATTTGAACACTCAGGCCACCAACGTTTTATAGGGCTTATCTGGGGATAGAAGACTAGAGACAAAAGGGCTGTGAGGTTTGAGCAAAGGTGCTTTTATTATTTGATAGAGCTTGATTTTAGTTTTATGAGATGCCACAGTGGCTCATTTAATCTTGCCATCAAACAAACAAACTGACCTAAAGATGGAGCTGTGTATGCCCCATTGTCACTGTGTCATATAATGTGATTAGACCCGGAGTGTCCAAATGTGGCCAACAACATTAACCCGTATTAGAGATTCAATCAGATGTTTTATGGGCACATTCACTGGTGACAGTAACAGCTGCTCACTGACAAGTAGCTCATTAAAACACCGGTAATGGTGGGCACATCATAAACCAACAGATCAATACTGTCTTTAAGAATGACATTTATCTACATTATTCTACTAATGGTAGTATCTGCAGCAGTTACACTTTTGGATTACAAATGTGAGTAACTTCAGGATTAAAGTTATGTCACAGACAAAGCTTCTTTATGAGTCTATTGTTTTGAACTAATCAGTTATACCAACATGCCCTTTTATATATGAAGTGTTCTCTTTAACTTAATGGCTCCAAGGTCTGTTCTGAAATATAACTCATCTTATTTATATCATATTTATATTGCTCCTTATAATAAAATACACTGTAGTTGTGTGTGACAGCATTAGCTGTGTATGATGCCGTTATGTATCTGTGTGGCACATAACATGGATTCTTCAGGGCTAGCATTTGCTTTAATGACTTCACCTCTTCCAGTTAATGCAGGCCAGTTAAAAGGATAATTGGGCCCAGATGTTTGAGCCCTCTGCTCAGTTTAGTAGAAACACTTTAATCACAAACATCCTGTGGGTGTACACCTGGCTCCAGAGCTACAAAAGACTCTGCTCCAGTTAATCATCTGTCAACAACACTACCAGATTTATGACGTCATAAGACAAAGGCATAGCCTATGTACGGAGTCCCATTGGCGGCAGGATTTGACTTTTCAGAGAAGTTGCCTCATGGAGGGATTAACAAGACATCATAGAAGAATGAATTTACTTATTTATTGCCACTGCCAGTTCAGTGCGTTAAAATATGAGCATCTGTTTCAAAGTTCATAGATTGGATTATTTTTTGTAACAGGAGTTTGAACAAGAATAAAGACAAGCCCTTTCTTGTTTGTTTTATATCAGGTAATGGAGTAGTGATCCATCTTCCTGGTTTATTTGAAGAAGCAGAGAAGAATGAGCGCAAAGGAAAAGGTGATTCTGTGTGCGTTTTTCTCCGCTCATAGCCACCACTGCTCACCTGTTAACAAGCTGGGTGATTGTGTTTAGGTCTCAAAGGCTGGGAGGACAGACTGGTCATCTCAGATAGAGCACACATTGGTAAGTTTCTCCACGACGTCCTTGGAAATACCCTTTGTAATTGGTGTGAATGAGCTGTGCGGGTGTGTCCCTCTCTCCCTCCTCCAGTGTTTGACTTCCACCAGGCGGTCGATGGCGTTCAGGAACAGCAGAGACAAGAGCAAGCAGGCAAGAAGTAAGACCCCACTGCATCTAGACGGCTTACACACTAGATGAGGAGGGAAGAGCATGATCTGTTTTGGTTGTATTGTGTACAACCGATGCACTGTATACTCAGAAGATAGGTATAGGATTAGTTTACAGGCCTACAAGATGGGTGACATTTTCTTAAAAATAAATTCTGGATCTAGTGCTTTGTCCCACTATAAATTACATTTTTAGACATGATTTACTGTTGGTAACAAATTGCTGTGCTGTTACTGTTTCACCAGAAAATTCCTGTTCAGAATACTTCACCATAAACCTTAAGTTATGGCATCCACAGCATTTTACAGCAGTTTATAACTAGACCCAAACCACAGTGGTCACGGTTAGTTACAGGTGCAGAGGTGTAACAGTATGTAGAAAAATCAGGTCACCTTTGCTAGACTCAGTGCTTATTGCTATCAATAACTACTGAGTTATGTGATAGCAATAGTTATTGTGTATATTTACCCGACACCGGGAGGTTGACTCACACATTGTCAGACAGGAAGAGTGTCCTGTCCAGGCATTTGTGCTGCCTTACTGAAATAGCACAGCTGAATGAGGTGTCAGGAGTCCAAAAAAACTATTGTTAAGCTACTTGTTGTCAGCTACCCTTATATTCCCAAACCAAAATATTACATTCATAGTGTCTGTCATTGTGAATCTTTTAAGAGTTGTCAGCAGGGGACCATGTGGATATATGTGGGAATGTTAATCCAAGCCCTTGGAGCATTCAAGAGATGGTAGCTGCCTTTAGTTTGGCAGCTACTGTTTGTGAGTGAGAAAGTGAGTGTTTGTGTGTGTGTGTGTGTGTGTGTGTGTGAGTGTGTGAGTGAGAGAGAGAGAGAGAGAGAGAGAGAGAGAGAATGTAAGCGTACTTGTGACCCAGGCATGTGTTTCACCACAGCACCATAATGTCACAGTCGTTATGAGCTTTCAGCACACTGCTTTGATAGGCCCCTGGACTGCCAATATTGTCAGGCATCCACTGTGGTCCAGCAGAGGTTAGACTAAACTCTGGAAGTTCAGTCTGGGTAACCATTCAGTGCAAAATATCAAGAATTTAAATGTGCACTATGTAACCTTTCTGCTGAATGCTCCTCCAACTGCTTGTCTCTGATATGTTATTGCGTCAAATTTATTTTTGCATTTATTCAATTGCAGATGTTTCTATGTTGTATCTTTCTCAAAAAATGCCTTGAAGAACCACATAGTATTAAGTATAAGATGCTGGGTCACTAAGGTTACCTCCTTTGTTTCCTGTTCGTTTCTTTATTTTAAATCTGATCAGTCTGGGAACGACAAAGAAGGGCATTGGTCCAGTGTATTCAGCAAAGGCAGCTCGCAGTGGCCTGAGAATCTGTGATCTTCTCTATGACTTCGATCAGTTCTCTGAAAGGTCTGCTCAAATTCTACAGATTCATATTCATAGCACACTGTTTTAGGTACGTATATATTTAATTATGTTGAATCTTTGCAGGTATAAAGGATTGGCAAAGCAGTACAAAGTCATGTACCCCACTTTAGAGGTTGACATTGAAGGAGAGCTGGCTAAACTAAAAGTAGGAATAAATCTCTATAAAAAGCATTATGACAGAACACAAACTTAAAATGTTTCTTTTGTTTAGGGTTGTATGGAGCGTATAAAGCCCATGGTTAGAGATGGCGTCCACTTCATGTATGAGGCTCTTCATGGTTCTCCCAAAAAGATTCTGGTGGAGGGCGCCAATGCAGCTCTGCTTGACATTGACTTTGGTCAGTACTAAAGCCTTGACCTATGAAATTATATTATGTTTAATTATCATTATATATGTGATGAAGTCTGTGCTGCTCTTTAGTGAAGCCAAACAGGACTCCTTGACAGTAAGTTTAATAACATCTAAATGTTCAGTGATCTTGGCACCTTCATCATAAATGGCAACTTATTTTGCATGATCACAGACACACCCCTTTTTATGTGTGCTATTCTAGTTAGTCTATTATGGAGCAACTCTCTCACAACATTTGCATAGTTATTAAGCTGTCTTTTTGACCCTTACATTCTGACAGAAAACCAGTTAGACCAATTTCTTAAAACCCAACAGCTGTGTTCAAGTAGTCTGCCCGTCTTAATTCATTGGCTACTCTAAACTATCAATTTAAAGGTCCTATATTGCGCAGAATTGACTCTTGAGAGCATTAAGCCATGTTAAAATGTTGTTACCTCATCAAAACCATACCTGGAGTTGTTTTGCTTCGTTCACACATGTTGAGTAATCCTGGTTGTCTCTAAAGCTCAAAATGCTCTGTTCCAACTTGTGATGTCATGAAGCGGTAGTTTTCCATCCAGATTATTCTAGTGAAGTTGTACAGAGTGGAATATAGTGGAGCACTTCCTGTATTACCACATGACAACACAAAGTGGAGTGTTTTCTGTTTGAGAGAGGGACTCCTAAATATGCAGGATTTGTGTGGTAAACACATGTGAATGAAACAAAACACAACTCCAGACAGTGAGGAGGAAACGACCTTATAACATAGATCAGAAAATAGTCCCTTTAGTATAAAAATATGGGAAAGCCTCTCAGCAGCCCAACCACTCTGTCCACATGACATACAAATATATAAAGTAATGTAATGATATGAGCCTACAGAGATGCTCAACAGACTAATGCCCAGACTAATCTTGTCTGGGCACTAAATATTATGTCTCTAAATGACCTAATATTATTCTTCATGTTGCAGGTACATATCCATTTGTAACTTCTTCAAACTGCACTGTGGGTGGAGTTTGCACTGGCCTTGGGATGCCTCCTCAGAATGTTGGGGAGGTGTATGGCGTGGTGAAAGCCTACACCACTAGAGTTGGTATTGGAGCTTTTCCCACAGAGCAGAGCAATGTGAGTGCACTCAAACATGATGTAAACAGCAGGTGTGTCTAAAGTTTCCCCATGTAATAATAAGCTCAATAGTACATTTCTCCATTATGAGATTTGTTAAAGTAACATTTCTAGATGCTTGTCCATGGAAATGTTATTGCTTTGTCTAGAATGTTCCACATCACAGTATAGATTAAACCCATTTATCACAAAGGAGACAAGCAGATAATTGTTGTATTTTTGAGCAATACAAACACTTGTAATGTATAAATGCTCGATAGAAATGTTTATTGTCATATCATGGAATGTTTTACGCAAAGCAATAAGTAGGTAGCGGACCCTCCATCACAAAAAGGTGTGCAGTGTGCCTTAAAATTCTATATGTACTCTACTACAATTGGGGGTGTGCAAAAATATTAAAATATCAATATATTGTATCGTTTGATGTGATGATACAGTATCGATATCGTGGGCTGCTGTAGCGATATATCTCCAAGAGTATTTTTTGGTATATTTTACAACATAATTTTGTTACAGCGCTACAGTTTTGTTGCTTGTTTGAGGGAGGAAACTTTTTTATGCAACACATTTGACATTTTCCTGTGTTTATGAGTAAAATGGGCGTTTCATGTGAACTTTAACTTTAACAAAGGTTTAACAAAGACTTTTAGTATCATATCCATGATTTAGATTTAATTTTTATTGAACTGTATCAAATTGAAAGCTCACTGTATGGCCTATGTATCGAGATATGTATCATATCGGCAGCTTCTTCATGATACCCAACCCTAACTAATATATTCCACATTATGGGAAGCCATTTCTACCTAGCATTTGTTTAACAATGGGTATTTTTATTGCTCAAAAATACCTTGAAAAATATGCATTCTTACTGTGAGTGGGGTCATTTCTCCACAGATCTGACCTGTTACTTGGCCTGGTAGTAAGTCTAGCTGCATCTTGTTGTGTCCCTGGAGATGGATATGTTTAATGCCATAGTGCAGAGCATTTTAGACATTCTATTAACATTTCCATGGAGACAAGCAAGTTACAAAGTTCACCTTTTAAATACTTGGAAAATGCTGTGTGTGTTAGGAGATTGGTGAACTGCTTCAAACAAGAGGAAAGGAAGTGGGTGTGACCACTGGCAGAAAGAGACGATGTGGTTGGCTGGATCTTGTGCTTGTCAAATATGCACACATGATCAATGGCTTCACAGCGTAAGTTATGTCTCAATCTCCTGCTTCTTTTATCATGTTAGAACACACTTCACTTCAGGAGCATGCATGGATTTGTTTCTTTTTCACTTTCAGAATAGCTCTGACAAAACTTGACATTTTGGATGTTCTACCTGAGATTAAAGTGGGTGTACTTTACAAAGTGGACAACCAGCCCATCCCTCACTTCCCAGGTGAGTCATACAGAAAAACACCATCCTTAAGCTATCAGTCAGTCAGCGTATTTGTCAGTTAAAGGGCTCAATATTACGCTATTTTCTTACCTCTGTTCTAATGTTGTTCCCTCATCACAAACATACCTTGAGTTGTGCTTGGTTAATTCATACATGTTTAATACACAAATTCTACATATTTAGACTGACTTCTTCTCTCAAAAAGAAAACACTCTGTTTCACCTTGTGATGTCATGTGGTAATACAGGAAGTGCTCCGTTGTGTTTTTAACCTTCATACACCTTCATTATAATCATTTGATCAATTCAAACCTGGAATTTCCAGTCTGTACTGAGCTAGGTCAAAGGGAGTAATGTACGTGAAAACTACCACTTCATGATAACACAAGATGGAATACCACATTTTGAGCTTTGAAGATATAGACAGACTGATTATAAAACATTACTCAGACATGTGGGAATGAAACAAAACAACTCCAGGTATGTTTTTGATGAGGTAATAGCATTATAACATGGTTTAAAGCTCACAAAAGTCAATTTAGCATAATATAGGACCTTTAATACCATTTACTCTGCACTGTTCAGAGTCATAATGTTGACATTTGTGACATGGTTCATTCTTTGTTGTCCTGTGCTCAGCCAATCAGGAGGTGCTGCAGTGTGTGGAGGTGGAGTATGAGACCTTGCCCGGCTGGAACAGTGATACATCTGCTGCAAGAAGCTTTGATGAGCTGCCTGAAAATGCCCAGAAATATGTCCACTACATCGAAGAGCATTTGGGAGTGCCTGGTACTGCACTTTATACGTTGAAGCATTTTGTTCTATTGTGGAAATGTCCTTATTTTTGCATGTCTCTCTGTGGTGTCTGGCAGTTAAATGGATTGGAGTGGGAAAGTCCCGAGAGTCCATGATCCAGCTCTTTTAAATCAAGAGGAGCCAGGTCTTCTTCACACAGCCAAACTACCTGTCTCCACTGTCGGACGCACTGTCGCCCTCTAGTGCTTTAACATTGTACCCACGGACTGTGCCAGGGCCATCCCAGTCTCTTTATGGTCGTGTAAGAATATGAGGAAAAGAACTCTTCTCTGTAATGACATGCAGACATAGGGTACTGCCCAAAAGGAACTGTGTCTATATTTATGTATTCTGTTTATCTATGCTGTTATGAAAACGCTGTGCCAGTCTGTTGAAAATTGTTTTTAAAATAATCCAAGATTTGTTTAAAAATTAACAAATCTGTGCTTTTATCAGATGTTTTTAATCTGTAACTTACTCTTGCAACAAATCTACAGTTTTCAGTTATAAAAGCAATTTACGATGTACAACGTGTGTCTGAAAATGTCTACATTAACTACAAAACTACAAAAGTGCATATGGACTCCAGTTCTTTGGAGTTTGTATTCTTCTGCCAAGGGCACACTACGCTCGGAAAAAGGGATCTTTAAAATATTTGTGTCACTTTTGGGTAACTGGGAGTTCTTGCCTTGTATTCAACCAAAAATGTATTTTATTGTAGCTAGATTTTTTAAATTTTAAGGTGGTGGTTGGTTTTAATCTTTTGCACTGAGATAACTCTGAATGTATTTTATCTGTTTCCCACCACTAATATCTTTGTATAAAACACTTTACTTCATCTAATCAGTTATATTTAAATGCAACACTGTACCATTTATTGTACTGTAATGAGTTATCTTGCCGCAAAAATATAATTTAAAACTGGTTTAACAAATGTACATGAATATCACTTTATTTTCAACTATCATAATTATTTTTGCTACAACTTCACCATCTGCATTATAGGCTATGTAGTATTTACATATTTTTCAGAATGAAAACTATTTTGACTTCCTCATTATATAACTGTCGCCTGTTGCTTAAGGGTTGTTCTGTCACTTAAAAATTATATATATATTTGAAAAAATATATATTTACAATAGTATTGTAAATATTGGCATGTATCAAAAGTGTGGAAAGGATTATTTAAACGTAGGCCTATATATGTGCAGGATGTACTGCCTGTTCAAAACTACCAGTAAAATTGAAAAAATTATAGAAAAATCTACCCTTTTGTGATTGGGCGGGTCAGCCACCTGCTTGGAGAAGTATGTGTTTACTTAAATGATCTACACAGTATTAAAAATATTCAGCAGATCTCCATGTAGCCACCATGACCACCAGACCAACCTGCAGGTCAGGTCTGTGCAAAGGCAAGCCCACTTCCTGTAAGAATGCATGATTTTAATGTAGTTTTGAGACGCCCTTAATTTAGTAAATGCATGAGGTATAATTTATATCTTTCTGGGTATGGAATTAACCCTTTCCAGTAAAATTGGCCTATATTATCTGCCGTTCAGAATTCACCTATTGATTACATCCTTATCTCTATTATGAAAATAACAAAAACAAAAATCATGTTTTTATTGGAACAAAATGGCATATCTTTATTTTTTGCCAGTTTGTCTTACAACATTCTTATCGGCATTTCTAACGGAAAGCTAAAACCAACGGTATTCACGTTTAGTGAGCAGTAGAGGGCGCTCGTGTCTTTCAAATGACGGCAATCTGTGGTAGTTTTAAAAACTAACCTAGCTGTCCTAGACCTGCCTGTATCTAGGCACTTTTAAGATGTGTAGATTGAATGTGATTGCTCCGAGAAACGTGCTGAGTTTTTGTTTTATCCAATGTCTCCGTGACCAGTTTGACCTGCAGCTCATTTTCCTGCCTTCACCAGCTTCCTCTGGATTTGAATACAACAAAATGAAGCCAACCACCTCGAAGAAACCACAAACACAAACACACAAAACTATATTCAGAACCACATACCCTCCGTTCAGATACACAAAAGACAGCACTCACCTGGCTCTTGTCCAACAGTCCCTCCTCAACTCTGTCACATGTCAGATGGACACCACTGCCCTGTTCACACTTACCAGCTGCCCCTCTGTCCTCCCTATCTCACCACTGTCCCCCCTCTGTCCTCCCACTGCAATCCCACTGTCCCCACATATTTTTTTATTTTTTTTATTTTTTGGTTCTTAGACAAAACTGTCAATGAACAAAATGCACAGAATTGAGAATGTGCTTCAGTGATAAAGTGCAACATACAGCAATTAACTTAAATAGTAAAATATAAGCTAAAGTCTTCAAATATTTTTGAATAAAATAGACCTAAATACAAAATATATAGGTTAGTGTATAGTCACAAAGTAAAATAAAAGAGCCGCACTGAAGATTCCACAGTTACTGTAGTTACTGACCCCCTAGAGGACATAACAACTGTAATAACCATGCTGTTTTCATCTTTGCGACCTTTGACCCTTCTCACGTTATGTGTGTTTTTATTCTGCTTGGATCAGGTCCTCACCTCAGCTCACCTCCTGAACTGGATACAGTCTTTTTAAGGACTCAACAGATGTGTGACAAATGACAACAGCTGCTTTCCTCCAATTCAGACTCTCACCCTGTGACGCAGTGACATTTTAT